TCATGAAGCTGCTGAATAGGAGGAACTAGTTTAAGACGTGTGAAGAGCGCTGCAGTAGTTTCTCGAGTCTTATGCACAGGGTTGTGTGTTACCGCTCTCACCTGTCTGGCATGCCATGAGCGAAGAGCCCGTGCCCGCCTTCCTGAAAGGCCAACAGATTCCAGGCCAAAGGTGGCCGTGGACCAGACGGTGGCCCTCCAGACAAGCAGCCTGGATGCAGTTTTTGTTTTGCGCTTACTGTGAATGAATTTGCGCACTGTCTGCTTTTTCTTCGCCGCTCTCTCTTGTCTTAAGGAGAAAGTGAGATCCTCCGGGTTTGAGTAGCTGACCATTACCCCAAGATACTTAAAGGAGTCTACCAGCTCGAAGGAAGGAAGGGAGGGAAGTGGGGGAAGAACAGAGGAGTTTGAAAGCAGAACTGGCCGCCTAGGCTGTTTTGGGGCATCTATGTTCCAGACCGTAACTTTCCGGCCCGAGCGCAGCTCCTGTGACTTGAAGAGCTTCTTGGCCTGCTGTGCATGGCGACCGGCCAATTTGACCATAATGTTGCACTTTGCATAGTTTACCTCTAGTCCGGCTTCTTGCAGATAGTGCAGTAAAAGTCTTACCATGTCATGAGCCGCGTAGAGGTCGGACCAGTTGTGGATGTCCCGGTGAATGACGAGATCATCCGCAAACCCTGTGAGGAACTGCTGTATGGGAGGGAACCCTATGTGGGTTGCCATAAGCCGGAACGCCTCTGTTATGACCAGGGAGAAAAGCGAGGGGGCCAGTTTGCAGCCCTGCTTGATACCTCTGGTTGAGGTGACTGAGTCCTGGCTTCTGCCATACCGCAAATTATACTGGGCTTCCCTATGAAGCGATGCCACTAGCTCAACGTCCTCTGGTGAGGCTCCGTAGGTTGTTAGTGAGCGCAAGAGAGCTTCTCTGCTAGTTTTGTCAAAAGCTTGAGAAAGGTCTAGTGAGAAGGTGAAGCCTCCGATCAGATCTGGCCTTCCCTTCCTACCCTTGGAAGTGCAGAACCTGTCTGGTGCTCGGGAGCGAAGCATGGCACGGACGCGCCTAGCATGACCAATTACCCGGAGCTGGGCGTCGGCTATCCCGCGTCCTGGAATATAGGCAAATTGAGGGGAGGCAAAGTGAGCCTTCTTAAAGAGGGGGTCTAGCCGTCTCCTAGCCTCAGAGGCTATGCCTTTTCCGTCTGGCCTGATGATGCCTAGCGGTCGTAAGTTTTCCGGTTTAGAGGCAGGCTTAGAGGGCTTTGGTATGAAGCTAAGGTCTGCTGATTTGGCCGTAGTAGGCAGCGAGGGCGGCTCGGCCAGCTGTTGCGGCGTTGTGCTATGCTGAGGCTCGCTCTTCCCTTGGCAGGAGGTGACCTCGCACGCTGGAGGAGTCAGAGCGGGAGGCGGAGGCACTGCTTCCAGATAGTCGCAGTAGTTATTTGCCACAGTTGAAGCACAAAGGCGATACATTGATGCTGGGGCAGAGCCTTGCGGTACTGCCTTTTCCGGCTTTATAGAGGCTATGCCTTTTGACAGACTGCTTCTGTCCAGCCTGGGTAAGGCTTGGCCTACGCCGCTGGCTAGGGGGGGATGTGAGGAAAAGATGGAAAGACTATGTCTCTTTAGCTCTGCCAGCCCCTCCGACTCAGTTAGGATACGGCCACATGGCGATCTGAGGCAGACTCTAGGTGCAGGAGACCAAGGAGCTACATGCTTTAAGGAGCGATATGCCGCATGTGGATCTCTTTTGACTTTCTCAGAAATCTCTGTTAGAGTGCGGTGAGTCCTTTCTCGGGCCTGGTTCTTGATCTGGTTGGCATGTGCCTTGGCTGCCTCATCTAGCGAGCGCTGAGCCTGTTTAAAGTGCTCGGTGCGAGCCATCTTATTTATGACGTCAGCCTCCCGTTTTAGGTTCCGTAGTGCAGTCTGTCGATAGTTATGAAGCCACCATAGAGGTTGTGCTGTCGGGACTGCATCTGTACGGCTTACTTCTGGGTCCCTCGGCTGGAAGGTCTTGGCGTGTTCGAGAAGAAGCTCGTTGACCTCATCAGGGTGAAGAGGCTCTCCATTTTTCTGCGCTCGGAGTTTGTCGACTTCCTGTGCAACTTGGTCCCGCAGGGTTTGAGCCAGAGGAGTGTTTTGTCTAACATGTTGGGCCAGTAAAGACTTTTGTTTGGAAGGGACTGCTGGCTGAGTTGTGGTCGAGAACGGGTGTCTCCAGACCTTCTTCAGAGGTATTGCCGTCCGAAGAGGCGTGTGTTTGCCTCCTTTCCGCCATGCTCCCAGCTTGAAGTCCTTGAGGACACACACTTTTCGGGCTAGCTGAGCAGCATAAAATTTGGTAGTTAAGATGAAATCAATCTGAGAGCTGCCCTGTGGCGAGGTGAAGGTGTTTGCCTTGCGCCCCTGCCATGTGTTAAGCGCAACTAGGGAGTTTCGCTGGAGAAACTTCTGGAACTGCTTCTGAACCGGTTTCTGCTTAGAAGATCCTGCTGGCACCACTCCCCCTACGAAGGGGGGATTTGGTTTTAGGGAAGAGTTGAAGTCCCCCGCTAGCACCGGAACAGTGCGCTGTGACGAGTTAGAAAGGGACTTGCTTAGGGAGGAGAGAACTTTGCTCTGAGTGGCATAGTGGTCTTGCTCCGTCATGCCTCGCTGCTTGGTGTACTGATAGCAGTTTAGCAAGAGCACTGGCTGGCCTCGGACTTCGCAGTGAACCTCTTGAGCGCGGCCTGGGTGTAGATCCTGCCAGCGCAGTGTTGCAGAGTCTATGCTTGGCGATAGTAGAGTGAGAACACCTGCCGAGCGCCTGTGCTTTGGCTGTTCGGGCAACTGGGATGTTTGAGCGGGAGGGGACCTCACGAGCTCTTCATCCGGCAGCCCGCCTGAAACGGCTGTCCAGCCATGCACTTTAAATTGGGAGGAGGTGGTCCAGTGGGTTTCCTGGATAAAGATAACATCTAGGTCCTGCTGATGTTGCAGCCACTCTTTGAACTCTGCCCACAATTGTTGGCTTAGTCCACCTGCGTTCCACGAGAAAACTCGCAGTGGTTTGGCTTCACGACCGCCTCTAGGGTGACGCCTTCGCGGCTGCCTAAGAGGGAGCTGCGGTGCAAATTGAGCATGCATTTTTTCTTGTGTCTCATGGATTACACTGGGTGCAGCTATGCCTGCGCTTGCCTGTGCCTGGCTTAGAGGCAAATTGATCTCGCGATATGGTACTGCGCAACCGTCCCTTAAGGCTCGGTTACAGGCCCGACGATAGGAATGTTTACGAATTATACCCTCTGCCATCCGCTTGTTTTGCCTGAAGTGCCGAGGCACGATCAGACTCCCCTCGTCCTGCGGAAAGACGAGAACCCTCACACTTAGGAGTGATGGATGCAGTCTAAGACGATCCTATTTCTCCCCCCGGAATTGGGACCGGGCCAGCTCGTGGTTATGCTGTCTGCAGCGGAATCTCAAATGCTAGAGGCTAATGCCTCAAAGTGACCATCAGCTGGCAAGAGCTAGAAAGCCTTGAGATGTTAGAGGGCCCCGAAAACTGTTAATGAGATGAAGTTCGGGGCCTTGGCCGGTTCGACAGCTACCATGCGCAGGCGGCTTGAGCTGGTAGTGCTTCAACAACAACAACAACAACAACAACAACAACAACAACAACAACAACAACAACAACAACAACAACAACAACAACAACAACAACAACAACAACAACAACAACAACAACAACAACAACAACACGAAAACAACAAACAAACCCCAAAAAAACAAACACACACACACACACACACTTTTTGTTTTCGTGCTCCACATATTCATGTAGTTGGAGATCTGCTGGAGAGGGGCATGCTCAAGCAAGCTGCCGAGGCGAACGTCCAAGATGATGAAGTAGAAGGGTCACGAATGAGACTTTATATGAAGTATCCTATCATAATTACGTACACGTGAACACACATGTTCGAACTCAATGACGATGTCCCAAGACTCTGCTCATCACTCTTCGACACAACTGTGCTTGTCACTCTCGGATGCTCCACAATTCATGCTCCGATGCTCCTTATTTCTGTTTGCTGTAAATTGCATTTGCTTTCAACTGGAGGTCAAATGTATCTTGTTTAGGGAAAATTCAATCTCACTTCATCTCTGGTGAAGTAAGTGAATCAAGAATCTATCTCAAAACCGGATGCAAAACACTAATCAATCAGACTCATTCACAATCACACCTTTTTCATGCCGGTGGCAGAAGATCTTGGGGAAAGTTCGAGTAGAACTCCCAGCGCACCATACCTACGGCATGCGTGCTGCATCCAAATGCTTTGGATACGGGACATGACATCAGGAGATGATCATGCCTCTCACAACCCTTTGGATACGGGACATGACATCAGGAGATGATCATGCCTCTCACAACCCCGGTGGGCTGGGTGGGAGACAAAAATTTTTCTGTGCACCTTACTCGAACCGAGGTGCTGCAGATATCACACGTTGTTTCACAAAACATGACATCTGCATTCAAGAAAATGGGCACGTGCTGCACTTGCCATTTTAAATGTCATGATGCGTGCATGTGTGTGCATCACAAATGGACACGTCCCGTTTTAAAACAAAACACCGCAAATGCAACCAGAAATTTTTCCCAAGAAAAATTTCGTGATACAGCCACAGAAATAATGCCTTGTCCATCGCGATGGAAGGCCGTCTTATTTCTGTTTGCTGTAAATTGCATTTGCTTTCAACTGGAGGTCAAATGTATCTTGTTTAGGGAAAATTCAATCTCACTTCATCTCTGGTGAAGTAAGTGAATCAAGAATCTATCTCAAAACCGGATGCAAAACACTAATCAATCAGACTCATTCACAATCACACCTTTTTCATGCCGGTGGCAGAAGATCTTGGGGAAAGTTCGAGTAGAACTCCCAGCGCACCATACCTACGGCATGCGTGCTGCATCCAAATGCTTTGGATACGGGACATGACATCAGGAGATGATCATGCCTCTCACAACCCCCAAGACTCAAAGGCGTGATCAACGAGTGAATCAAGATCGATCGTGAATTCTTTGCCCAGCTCTGGATCTTTAGAGCCGCGTGAGGGGGCATCTGCCACGTTTGAGCAGGTGTTCACGCGTTCAAACCAGATGTTAAGCCCAAGCTCGTCACACAGCACATGAACATGCTGAGCAATCGCTTCTCCATACTTGTTGCTTGAAATTCCGGCAACCATACAGGCCAGGGCACCCTCGTTGTCAGTAAACACAACGAGGTTGGTACTGCGAATGAGCGGAGCCCACAACCTGAGTCCGACAAGGATGGCTAAGCATTCGTACTCGAAAATGGGGTTGCCGCTCTCAGGATTCATGCGACGTCTCACATGCTCAGACGCGCGGTCACTGAAAAAGCCCATCTTCGAACCCACTTCATTAACAAGAACACCACCCAAGCCTACGTTATCACCCTCACAAGAGGCATCGACATAAAGATGCATGGTAGTCAAGATGTTGGCGCAGATCACCCTGGGCGGTGAGAAGTTGACTCGATCGCGCAACCTTAGTAGGGCTACCCTGGTACACTCATCCAGGTGTCCTCCCCCTCGTTGCACAAACCGCGACAGTTGTTTGTAGGCTGTTCCAGCAACCTTTCCAGCTATCTGGTTTTCAGCAAACTGGAGTCGGCCCCTGATGCGCTCGCCATCCTTTTGCGTGAGGTAACCAGACGAAAGGATGTCGGACAAGGCCTCGAAGATCTCGTCTCGCCTCGACTCCGTGTTACACAGAGTGATACGTCCGAGACGGGACTCAGACAAGTCGAACTTCAACCCCAACACTTTTGCACAGGAGTCGAACACAGATTCTTTGTCTTCGGCGACATCCCACCCCAACAAACGGAATACTAGGCAAACACCAATGTCGAAGAGGCGGGCCAGAGGAGCCAGCTCCACACCCACAAAGTCGTCAAAGTAAACGTTGATGTGGCATAAAAACAGCACTACAAGGACTTTCCATATCCCTAGTGACACCCGGCAAAATGCGTGCACACTGTGCCGTGATCCAAACGGAAGAACCTTCTGTCGGAAAATTCGGGGACATTTCCCTTTTGGGTCGTAGACGCACAAGAAACTGTCCTCTAGCGCCTCCAGGGATAGTGGAAGGTTTTTGTAGGCCTTGTGAAGGTCCCAGGACTTCAAGAGAAGTTGGTGCAACCTGCACTTTGCATCGGCCCTCAGTCGACGGGCCAAACCTGATGCTATGCAGTCGGCGGTGTGCACGGTGATTGTGTCGTACGATGAAGATGTGGCATTCAAACCACTTTCAAGGTAGTTATCGATGGGCCGTGTTTTGTTATTCTGCACAACGCCAAAGCGCCTGGTCAACAAAGAGCTGGCCCCCAAGTCGCTCTCTTTCAGCGGCCCGTCCAGCCACCCCCGCTCCACCTCGTCCAAGGTGACTCGGTAAGTTTCAGCATCCACCACATCATCTCCTGAGCTCTTGGTAGAGTTTAGGATGCCCTTCCGCATTCGTTGTGCTGACCCTCGCAGGTCATCGACCGCCATGGTGGCAGCTGTACGCTTAGCGCGGAACTCAGGGCAGTAGGGGATCGGACCTCCTAAAGCAAAACCCTTAGACATATCCGCAACCAACGACGGATCATTGTGGCCGGCAGCCTCAATCATCTCGCCGAAAAGAAGCAGCCTTTTCTTGCTCAAGGTTCTCGCACAGTGCTTGGGCAGTGTCTCCTTATACACACGTTCTTGCTCGTCGAGCTCTGCGGCTCGCCCTAGCCACTGACGTAAAGCTTCAGTCCTACTGGCACCAACGGTGTGCATGCCCTCCGACGCCAAGAAGTCAATCGTTTGCTGCAGCTCAGGTGGAACTCCTGAGCTCATAAGACGCGGGTGCTTAGCCTCAAGCGCTTGCTCGATGAATTCATCGCACGTCCACGGTACTCCAACCCACGTCCTAAACCTATCGGGAACCCTACCTAATGGGGGGGAGCCTTCCTCGGGCCCTGCCGGTGAGGAGGCTTGGTGTCCTGGCTGTTCGGGTAAAGCAAACCCCACACACTGCAGCTCAGCCGTTTGGTCTGCAGTCAAGCGATCTGTGTGATTGGTGGTGTAGGCAACAAGTATGTCACGTGTCGCCCCATGCCTGGGCATTGCACAGTGCTTATGGAGGGGGTTAAACAGGATCCTGTTGGACTCGAACTTCAGCTCACAGCCCATCAAGTCAGGCACGTTCGGATCTGGGCAGGGCACGTCCCCAAGCTCATTGTGTATCCAAATTCCACCCTCGAAAGATGAAAGTTTTAAAACACAGTTAGGGAAACCTTGGGCATTGTTTTTGTCAACATGAACCCCTCCTTGAAGGTTTCGTCCAAGCATGATGGCTGAGAACGGATGCCCTGGTGCATGCTGTTTTACGAACCGACACAGCATAGTACTGACAGCCGGGTTGAGCCGCAGGTTAGTCCTAACCCCGGTAACCCCTCCCTGTGCATAGGCCCCTGTGGACCACGAAAACTCATCATCCAGGCCAGCACCTCTGGCCAAGCGATCCGACTTCAAGAGCTGGAACAGCTGAGTTACATCATCAGCCAAGATAGTTTTCTGTTGAAGGCACACAGAGGCGAACTGCTCGACGGGGCAGTTCGGGTTTCCCTGATTCCTACTGCTTGGCTGGGATGAAGGTCCAGAACGCGGCGTCTCTCCACCCCCAAGTGCAACACGACGCAATATACGAGAACCCATGGGCAGCTCTGGCAAAGGCGGGTCACACGAGGCTGAGGGCGGAACAGGCACGGCCGCGGGCAGCTTGGCTGAAGCAGGCAAGAAGTCATGGTCAGATGTCACAACGACCACATCACGGAACTCAGCGACCATAGGAGCAACCTTCTTGCCACGGGGCTGGGAGCCGAGACTGACCTGGGCCGCTCTATGTTGCTGCCGAACCTCATCTGACAGGGAACGAGCAGGCAGCTGGAACCCACGCTGGCAGAGCTCCTCAAGCAGGAGCGCGGCGACCGCCTTGCACAACCCAAGCGGGTAAGCGGTCTCCTCACTAGTAGCATAGCGGAACTTAGACACACGACCCCAAGGCAAATGCTTATGGGAGGCGGACTCGCCAGGGCACGTCAGGCTGAGTTGGTCGAAGGCTGGCACGTTGTGCACCCACAACGTATGCTTGGGGCGGCTGCCCCCGTAGCAACAATGGTCAAACACAGTTTCCCGCAAGGACAAACCGGAGGTGCCCTGACGCCACGCAGTGGTCTGCCACATGAAAGAATTCAGGGGATTCTCGCAGCTGACAAGCTTGCCAGCAAGAACCGCCCGTTTCAGGGCTGCAGCGGTTACGCCATAGAGGCGGTTGGCCGCAGCCACACGTTGAGCCAAACGATCAGGAAGCCCGGGTAGGCCATCAGGAAAGGTATCATCCCGACACGGTTCGGGATCGTGATCGGACTCTTGGATCAGGCGAGCACGGGAGCTCGTGCCACACGGTGGTGCAAAATGCACATAAAGGCAAAAAGGGTTGTCGATCATATCATGCAAAAGCTGTACATCAAAATCGCGAGTGAGGTCAAGTTTGACCATGGGACAAGGGCAATGCCTGGGGATCCGATGATCGACGCCACAGGAATCTTGCAAGCCCACGGCACGAAGGGCCACAGTAAGACGAGCGCTGCCCGCAAACACTTCAAGAGCATGGAAAACAGTCAGCTGCTTGCTACCGCCAGGGTGAGCTGCACTTTCTGAAAGGGGAACATCAGGCCGGGCAGGCAACACCTCCACCGGCAACAAGCCAGCAGGCACAGCAGCCTCTTCCACAGGGGCCGCAGGCTGAGGGTGGGAACATGAAGTGATTGCGGGCTCCGCCAGTCAAGCGGGTTTCTTAGGGCACACATGTGCCCCATGCATACCTCCACACCGCATGCAAACGTGCAAGCCCTTGCTGCAAGTTTGTCCAGCTTTGGCGCCGGGACAGCCTGCGGCCATGTTAAAACCCCAACAGCGCCGCTTCCCTGTTCGTGTCCATGATGAGAGACCTCGCAGCTCAGAAGGCAGGTTGGCGGGCTCAGTAGGGGTTTGCTTTTCCTTCCCTTTACCTTTGCCTTTGGGCTTCCGGGGTCTCTTGGCTGGGGGCCCCTCAGGGGGGTCAGGAACGCCCGGCGGGGCGGGCGCAGGATGCTTGCCCGAAGAGTCAGGAAGCGGCAAAAGGTGAAAGACTACGCGCGGGTCCTTCTGCAAATCAGCCCAGAGGCTATCCAACGGCAATTCACCGGTAGCCTTGCGACGCACCCCGGCTGGGGTTAACTCGGACAAACGGACCCAGGCAGCTCTATCAGCGTGAAGGAGTTGCTGAACAGTGGGGCTGCGGTATCCCGCCAGGACAGGCTGCTGTAGGTGGTTCATAAGAAAAGAGTTCCACTCTTGCACGCGAGCATACGTGCTTAGGCCAACAAGGTCCATGGCCAACGCGCGACGATGCAGGGCCTGGAATAGATCAAGGGCATGCGTCACGTCGCAATGCTGCTCTGCAGCGCGGTCCTTGATAAGGAGCACGGAAGAGGACGAGCCCGGGGCTGCGACATCAAGTTCCTTGCGGGGCTTATCCATACGCAGTTCCGCCTGCCGGCAGGTAAACTTCGAAGGCTGAAGATACGAGACACAGTTGTCAGAAATCAGCTTCAGGCAAAGGTCATAGCTTGCATGCGAGCACTCGTTGACACCAGACAAGTCAACACCTGCAAGGCGGGCAGCTTGTTTCTGCAGGCGATCACGCCGTTCGGCTGGAGGCAATTCTTTTGGCTGCTCTTCTTTATTCTCAACTAGGCACTTGGTCTCATTGACGACCAAAGTTTGTGCTTCGAAGACTAACCTGCGTACCGCGGCGACGGTACCAAGAGAGGGCTCGGCACCACCTGCACCCCCGGGGGCAGCTACTGGAGCAACTAAGGCCTTGAGTTTCTCGTCACTGGGGGACTCCCCGGGATGACCAGGGGCAAACGCCAGTTTGGCCAGAGTGTCGACGCCCTGGTCAAGCAGCCGTTGCAATGCATCATCTGGCAACCCCACCTTAGCGGCACGCTCTTTCAAAACTGCAGTAGATTCAGTCAACAAGGCAGACACGGCGCACAGGATCTTAGGGTAAGCGAAAACTGGACCTAACAACACCTGCACAGAGGTGCTACGGCAAACTGTGTAGACTGTGGCCAAAGAAGCTGCAAAGGTCCTAAGCACCGGCCATTAGAGCTTCCGAAAACGAGGTCAGTAGTTGCAAACACGATTTGCAAAACATGATGTCAAATCATCTCGTAGAATGCACCTTCTACAAACTCTGCAGCCGTGATCGAACCACGAGCTACAATCCTTGAAGACTGAGCGCAGCAGGTTGACACATCGCATTGTCGAGTTGCAGTTTGCTACAGAGAGCCAACTGAAGACAACAAGCATGTGAGCCGTGGCTGCTGAAACAGTCAAGCTTCATCCCTGCAGGAAAAAACAGCAGCTGGAACTCCGTGGTACCCAGATATACTGCCGGTGCCACGACCGGCAGTAAGGATGTTGCCGCGAACATCCGCAAATGCTTCCACGAGCCGCACGCAAGCTTTTCACAGCGCCTTACCTCTCGAGGCGCCTGTCCAGGTGATGCAAAAGCGAGCCAGTGTCTCGGATGGGCTTAGCCATCGTACACTGCTTGCACTTCCAATGCTTGCTGTGCACTCTTCCAGAGAAGGGAACAAAACCTTTTGCCGGCCGACCGCAAAGCATCTTGCTGTCGGGCGTCGCACCTCGGGCCCTTGCGTGGATTGATTTGGTCTTAGGGTTCTGGAAGAGATCCAGGTCCACCCCTATGGTTGCACGCGGGGCCTGCACCTCGAAGCCTCGGAGGAAGCCATCATAATCAACCGGCTCGCTGGATGAGCCCGAAGATTCACTGTCGCTAGAAGACTCCAAGGAACCTGACTCACATACACGATCTGGGCTCACGCCACCGAAGACTGCATCTTCCTCGGCCTCCCTGGCAACCTCAGTCTCACCTTCCTGGAAACCGGGAGCTCGATCCAAACTTAACGCTGAAGCCCCCCCTTCAGAAGGTGCTGCCTCGTCGGGCGCCGTGTCATTTGCAGGGCCAGCAACACTGAAGGACGGTGCAAAGGCCGGCTGGAGAGAGGGGCGAGAAGCAAAACCACTTGGGAACTCATCAGGCGACTCAGCGTGCTCCCTGATCATGCCACTGCGGGTCAAGTCTGGAAGGAAGACCCCCACTCTGATCGATTTCAAGCATGCACACAAGTCTCTCAACGGTCCCGCCTGCACATCGCGACCATATGCTTCGGAAGTTTTGCCCCTAGCCCCCAGTGAGTGATGGCCAAGCACGAGGATGGTACGGTCCCCGTAATTTGCCTTTGTCACCCACGAAAGTGTTGTGGCTTTCAGGCCATGGCTCGTTAGGCCATCAAGGACTTCGCCCATCAGCGCCTTGAGGATGCCATTCAGCCACCTTGTGGTTTCAGCAGCATCCACCGCATCCCCTGACCAAGTGTAATCGCTGGCAAAACGGGGCAACATCGGACCTCTGAAACCTTTCTCAAAGTCAAACCCAACATCTTTGGCAGCCTGAACAAAAGCAAGCCCCCAAGGCTGGGAGGCGAGCCCCTGGATCGGAGCCACCAGGATGAGGACAGCACTGGGTCCACTGGTGATGCGACGGCTTTTGTGCTCGTACGTATGTGCTTCGATATACCCTTCTGCCCCGGTTATGTCCAGGTAAACCTTGAACAGATTACGCAAATCAGACACTCGGGCTCGAGCATACAGCTGAAACAACATAACTCCGAGCGCATATCGATCAAAACGGTCCAAATGGCCCCCGATCAAGGCCTCTTCAAGATGCTTCACCTCCTTCACAGTCAAGGTCCGTGATCGGTGGGCATCCCGGAGCCGGATGTTGGCAAATCTCATCGTCCCTTTGAACCATGGGTGTGAAGTCACATCATCACTCACCTGAAACCCCAACACAAAGCGACAAAAATTCAAGGAGCTTGCAAAATCCCGGATGGCACTCTTCTTGTTACCCGAAATAGCATCCTTGAGGTAACTCCGGATCTTCTCAATTGAGAAGGGGAAAGCATCGCACCCATTGTCCGACGCCCAATGCACGTATTTCCCGATGCAGCGGACTCTTTTCAGAAGAGTACTTGTTGCCTTGCCCTCAAACGTCTCAGACACAAGCTCGGCACCATCACACGCACTCCCCGCAAGCATCTGGCCCATTGAAGATGCACTGGTATCATGCAACAACACACACAACCATCGCCGCACAACTGCTTCCCTGTCCAATGACTGCTTGACCCCTGGTTCGAGACGAGCCTTGCGAAGGACCTGGTCAAACACAGGCGGTAAGGAACCTGATGCAGGCACAGAAAGTGGCACTCTCTTAGCGGCTTTGAGTTGATGAGCAGATACCGGCCACTGTGGTATATTAGGTCTTGGCATGGGCACACGTAGAGGCTGGGCGAATGGAACTGATGTTTGCACTTCAAAAACGCTCTTGAAAGGTGGCTTCTCCCAAGGCATCAATTCAACACTCCGGGCACCTGAAAAACCAGCTTCCTCGATTGCTCTGTCAAGGTCAAAATCAGCTGGTCTTTTGCGATTCGACATGTTGCGCAGTGTACCGCAGTGGAAAAGTATCTCAGGCAGCTGCACACCAGTATCGAAGTTGAGGCTGACACTCCCCCCCCCCCTGCACAGGAAGACTCAAGGCAGATCTGGTGGTCTAGTCCTCGTGGAGGGACTGCCACTGAACGTGAGGGAAGGTTCTCTGCAACGCCACAACAAGAAACTGAAAACAGCTCTGGTTATGCAACACCCGCTCCGTCAAGGATTCAATGGCTGGAGCAGGACGCACAAGGCGGGGCTGCAGGCGGGCAGAAGCACGAACGTGGGCCTCTTGCAAAGGAGCGATCTGATCACGCAAGGCCCTAACTTCTGCACGCAAAGCCTCGACCTCAAGATGGTATGCACTCAAATCACCCTGAAAGACAGCTACCTGATGCCGCAGGGGCTCAACCTGGGCAACCTCACGCTGAAGCTCTTGAAGAACGCGATCCGCTGGGTCCATCCACCAGAGATCACTCTGGCTTGCACGCCCTCTAAGAGGGAAACTTGTTGAAAGGATCAGGCCTGTTAACAAGCGGAGCCGTTGCGCCTTCAAGCCCAGGTTAGAAGAGACAAAAATTTTTCTGTGCACCTTACTCGAACCGAGGTGCTGCTCCACACTTCATGCTCACGCGACTCTGCTCACCACGCTCAGATGCTCCACAATTTATGCTCTGATGCTCCACAATTCATGCTTACACAACTCTGCTCACCACGCTCGGATGCTCCACAATTCGTGCTTAGATGCTTCACACTCAAACATGCTCAGCACATGACATCAGTCGTTCCCACCATGCAAATGCCCTCTGCTCGCTGGACATGCTCACATAACTCTGCACATCACGCTCAGATGCTTTATTGCGAACTGAACTGCTCCACACATGCTGGCATTCATGTCATGCATTGCACTGCTCCGTCCCTCATGATGTGTTCCGAACCTTCCCGTCGTCATCGTTCATGTCCATGTATGCTCCATCAACATGCTCACACAACATGCTCACGCAATTCTGCTCAGCTGCTTTGCTATTCACAACACGCAAGCTAACAGCATCACGATCCACTCAAGCTTGATGGGCTCGAGATCTTCTGGGGTTTGGGGTATGTCATGCTCACGGCTCAAAGAATTCACCCACATGCCAAGCAAAATACGAAATCCACGTTGTAAACTGCGTTGCGGTTGAGGTAGAAGAACAACAGCGAGGACGGAACCAATGCACAGCTTGCGTTACAGGATGTCTAAGACGATCACGCAGGTACACAGTTGGACGTCTCCAACTGCTTCACCACGAACCATGGGCGTCTTTGTTAGCAGGAGACCCATGGCCGTGCTCCTGCCCCCTGCTGAAAATGACATGCAAGTTTCCTGTTGGACTACAAATCCATGCTTCTTTTCGATCTCGTACGCAGTGCTTGTTGACGATCCCGCATGTACAGCGGTGTGCCACACACACCCCTTTCGGGGCGACAAAAGATTGAGAGCATGTACTTCACACGTAGAGGTAGTCCAAGTCCACGAACTTTTCGGCTCTCTGTTTGGCTTGCTTGTGCGGCGCCGTGATCAGGTGGATCTCCCATTGTCGGACTGTTCTGGATGCGATTCTGCAGATTGGACAGGCCATGTACTTGTCCTCCGTCGGGTGGCATTTCATCTTCTTGACTTTCCCGTATTTGTGATGTTTGCGGTGTCGATTGGGGTTTGGACAAGATCGGCTCCTGGGCGTGTGGTAATCATCTCTGGCCTGGTACTTCAGGAGCATTTGTTCCGTGGACTACCTTCTGATTTGATCTTCTTGGACGCGGGGGGGTCACATTGCTCTTCTGGTTCCCCGAGCGGTATATGGCCTTTCTGGAGCCTTTGAACGTCGTTGCACATGATGGCGTTGGTGATGTGTTGTGCGGCGAGAGCTTTGTCATGGTCCGGTAGCCGGAGGTAGCACGTGGTGATGTCGTTGGGATCCGATGCGGCCATGATGAGCCATGCTGCCATCACTTCATTGGACGCCATTGCTCTATTGTGAGATCTGCGTAATCGCTGGGCCGTCTATGTCAGATAGAAAAGCAGTGGTGGGTAGGGCGAGGGTAGGGAAACATGTCAAGCGCACTGTAGAACACAAGATCCAACATAAGCTTCGCCGACATTTCTTTTGGCTGTGGGGTCAGCAGTGGGTCTGAGGTCGGAAGTCGTAGTCCTTGTCTTAATGATCAGGATGGGCTGCGAATGGTGCTCCACTGTGTCCGAAGTCCGTCAGCCGCATGTAGTGGTAATTGAGCAGGTAGTCTCTGGGGTCGTTGAGCGCGTGGTGCATGATGATCTGGATTGTTTGGTTGTGTTGTCTCATCCAATGCAGCGTGGCTGTTGCAATGGCCTTAGGCCTTAGGCCGCATCAAAATGGCCACCGCATCCTTGTAGTAGTTGATCATCAAGGTCGTGGCAAGGGTGCGGTCACACTTGGCTTGTTGTTCCACGATGTCTCGGTGGTCGTCGGAGTTGGTGAAGTTGTAGCTCTGTTGGCAGTATGACGCAATGGTCTTGAGGATGATGTACACTTCGGTGGGCGACATTCTAATGTTGAAGTCGACTTCCTGATGGACTTGCCACTTCCAAATCTGGCTTGCGATGGTGGTGTACTTGATGAAGTGTTGGAAATGTCGGTGATGTAAGAAACGATTGGCGGCACTGATGATCTTCCACGGTTGTAGAGGTAGGGTCGTGAGGAGTACGCCGTAGATCTCGGATATGTCTGTTCCATCCGTCCATTGTGGGTATGTGTTGGGAAACTCAACGTGGGATTCATGGTACATCGGAGGTTCGATGTCACCGGGGTCTGAGTACGTGTGGAGCATGGTGCGTTCCTGTTGTCGATCAATCGCTAAGTGGAATGCGAACAGGTAGAAGTAGTTGAGTTGAGTTTGAATGATGTCGTCCAACACTTGCGGGTCCACGTGGAATAGGTGTTCAGCTGATTCTCCTGTATGAGGATATGGTTGGTCTGGTTGACGGAAACGGAGCATGCATCGAGCAAGGTGTGCCATGTCAAGCTGGATTTTGTGTTCGTCTTCGTGGATCGTCCATTGTGGCTCTGGGGTGCACCGTAGGCAATGGTGCATGTATCGAAGGTCGGGTCCTGCATTGTGCAGTTTGCGGCATTGACCATCGAATGATTTGCACGTCATTCTCAACGCGTTGATTTCATGGAGCGGAAGGACTAGTCCTGTGATTTGAATGTGGTCTTCACTGTTGATCTGTACGAAGGGCCCGTATGGTCCGGCTGGAGGTACGTGTTGAGGAAGCCAAGCCACCGTGGTAGAAGCCGGGACTGTCAATGCTCTAGCTGGACTCCACCGTAGAAGTTGTATGGGCTGCGGATGGCGTAATCGAAAACTGGTAAGTTGCTCTCTCATACGGGCCAGCTGAGCGTCATTGAAGTGGGACTCGAACTCGTGTCGCTTCAGGCCGATGTTGATTTCATAGTGCCAGTGCAAGTACTCCAGGATCGTTGTGATGGACGTGTCCGGGATCATATTGCTCTGGGTGAGATCAATGAGTGGTGATACCGAACTCTGAGCACTGGGAGCGGGTAAGGTGGCTTTCACTTGCACATGCACTAATGGTAGATCGCGCACAACTAGCAAACGTCCTTTTCATCGGAAGAAACTGGCGCATGGGTTTAAATAATTGGGTGGGAGGAAACAGGGAAGGTCTGTCCGTTGGTATTCATGCGCGTGCGGGTAGTTCTGTAGTACGCATTGGGCTGAGACTGGTAGTGCCAGAACTTCACGATGAAGTGGCAGTGCGTGTCGACCCAGAGCTCGCTGAGTGGTGGGCCTCCCTCCGTGTCTGTGAACTCCTCCTGCATGTCCTGCGTAAATTGTTGCAAGTCGAGGTCAACGTGGGAGCCGTTGTCCGTGATCTCTCTTGTGTGGCTGCGGCATATGCCGTGTTGCTCCATTCGTTTGAGGATGCAGGATACCTCGTCGTAGGTCATGAACTGGGTGTCCCCTTGGATGAACAAATAGTACCATGTGCGTATGGTGTCGTGGAGGTTGAACATGCGGACAATGCGAAAATGTCTGGTGGGATCGTTTTCGCACAGTTTGGTGGCGAGGTACACGATGGAGGACATCTCCGGCCAAGCTTGTTGATGCGATATGGCCTGGATGTAGTTGAGCATCATGAGGCATTGTATGTGACCAGTCTGATATTCCTCCGTGACTTGGGGTGTGTGTTGGACATACAATCCCAGGATGCTGCGATGTGCGAAGTAGTACTCCTCGATGAAGAGGTCATGGCGGTCCACGTGTCTATACGGTGTTTGGCTGACAGGTTGCTGCGCAAAGATGAGTTCAGTGCCACCCTTCGTCATCCGTTTGTTGCGCCACTGAAATGCCAGCACTGTCGGCCACGTGGATCTGTGGTCGTGCATAGGAAAGATGTGAGTCTGCGTTTGTGGTAGTATGCGCATGTCCACCAGATGTTCATAGAAGTCCCTGGGGAACTCCTCGTTGCGCACCAGAAACTTGAACGTGACGAAGTCGGGTTCTCCTTGTTTGATGGCATGGACGACTTTGTAGACTCCTTTGCTGACGCGCTTCAAGGTTTGGTGTTGGTGCATCTCCATATAGAAGCCATGGATGATCGTGACGTTCATGTTCATGTACTGCACGACCGGTCGGGATCTTGCATGGTCCGCGAACTGGACTTGATCTGGCGAACTATATCGGTGGCGTAGTTGGGCCCGTAAAATCTGATGGGCGAAAACTGCTCCTTTGTGTAGTCGCCGTTGGCCTGCAGCCAGGGAGTCAGCTTCCATGGGTAGGTCCTCCACGACACATCGGTGTATCAGGGATTCTGGGTCTTCTTGTTGTGCAAGAGAGTGCGCTAGATGATGAGAATGGGTAGGGTCCAGGTTCAACACCGTATTGCACCGCTGGTGTCGTATTGCTTGAAGGTGGAGCTGAATTTCCTCATCGGTCATGTGCTTGAGGTCCTTAGAGATGCCTTCGTCCATGAAGATGAATCTGTACTTCTTGCCGAGCTCCGGGAGTAGTAGGGGAAGGAGTTGATCCATCTTGCTCGACTATGTACAACGATTGTTTCAAAGTCCCGGACAGCATACCGCATGCTGTTTACTGCTCAACATGGCACTGCACTTTGCAAATGTTCTTCAGCATGCTAAATCGTCATTATCAAAAGCACTTGTATCGATGCGCTGGCCGTATGAAACATGCACCGCAAGCAAATCACGTCTCTGTCCGAAAGACTGCGCACTCCGAACAGCTGAACTGTGAATCTCCATATTTCCGAACTTCACATCGCAATGCAAACGAGTCTGGTCCGCATTAGCACGCGGAACTTCCACCTACGGGTGCATGTGATTGGGTGGGGTCTTTCGTCGTCAATGACTTCAGTCCACGGACAGGTCCGGCTCGGTGTAGTGGTTGTAGGTGGCCGTCGGGAACCGT